TAACTCAGTGGTTCTCAACCTTGGCTGCACATTAGAATCACCTGGGAATCTTTTTTAAATCCTGATTTCTGGGCCTCATCCTCCGGAAATTCTGTTTCTTTGTTACTAATGTTGTGGCCCCACCCCATAACAAAGAAACAGAATTTCTGGAGGATGAGGCCCAGAAATCAGGATTTAAAAAAGATTCCCAGGTGATTCTAATGTGCAGCCAAGGTTGAGAACCACTGAGTTAGAAGGTTCTTCCTTGGTTAAGGCAGTTTCAGTAGAGGGGTGGGGGCAAAAAATAAAAATAAAAAAATCCCACAACATATTCCAATAAATGATAGAAGTCAAAGGAAAGAAGAAAGTAAAGTACGACATCCACACTGCTCTTTTGAGGCTTAGTTTGAAAGAGAGAAGCTAGATGGGACTAGAGAGAATATGTCAGAGAGTGGTTTATAGGCTCAACCCAGTATGTCAGTTCAATAAGAAGTGATTACAAATAAATTCGTATAAATCATCTTGTTTTGCCCTTGAAAATTTCAGTGCCATTTTTTTGTTTGCAAAAGTCGAAGTAACATTCCCCATCCCCCAATGGGAATGGGGCTTCTAAATTAATTACCATTCATTTAAGTGATGGATTGAGATTTTGAAAGATTAAACCTTACCACTAAAACTTTTCTCAAAGTAATATTTCTAAATATTTTGCATAACACATCTTCGCCCTATTACAAGAAAACTTCAATAGAAATATTAATCTTCAGGGTGAGTCTTATGAAAAACAGTGATAAAAGCAAAATTTGTCTTCAGTGCCCACCTTCTTCATGATGCACCAAATATTTCTTAGATAAATCACTACTAGTAAAATCACAATCCAAAACCAAAAGAAATGACACATTTGATTACATCAAAATTAAAGATTTAAATTCTTTGAAAGAATGAAAAGATAAGTCACAGACAAAAATAATATATATTTAGAAATCATTATCTGATAAGGACTGGTGTCCAGAATATATAGAAACACTCAAACACCAAAAATAAGAAAACAAACAATTCAATTTTTGAAATGTCAAAAGACCTGAATAAATATATTACCAAAGAAAAGATATAAAATGTTAAAAATACACAGAAAAATATGTTTAACATCATTAGTTGTTAGGAAAATGCACACTAAAATCATGGGATACCACTCTACAACTACTAGAATGATTGAAATTTGAAAAAGCAACAAGTGACAATACCAAGGAATGACGAGAATATAGAGCACCAAGAACTCTCACTAATTGGTGTCGGGAAAGCAAAATGGTAAAGACAGTTTGGAATACAATTTGACATTTTCTCATAAAGTTAAACTCAATACCATATGATTCAGACTTTCCAATCCTGTATATTTTCCCAAGAGAAATGAACACTTATGTTCATGCACAAACCTTTAGGCAAACATAGCAGCTCTATTCATAAGCACTAAATCTGAGGACAACCAAATGCCCTACGGCTGGTGAATAGGTAAACTGTGGTACAGCCATACAATTGCATATTACTGAGCAATAGAAAGGAATGAATGACTGCTATAAGCAACAAGATGGATGAATTTCAAAGCTTCATGCTAAATCCCAAAGCCACATACTGTTTGACTTCATTTATGTGATATTATGGAAATGGCAAACTAAAGGGAAAGATATCTGGAGAAGAGGGTTGACCTCAGTTCATGAAGGAAGTTTTGGGTTGGTGGAATAGTTCTATATCTTGACTGTGGTGGTGACTGTACAACTATGAGCATGCATCAAAGCTCATAGAACTTTTAACAAGTGAATAGTACATCTTAGCACATTTTAACAAGTGAATTTTACTGTATATAAATTATAACTCAATAAAAGTGAAAAAATAGTAACTATAGAGATCATTATAAATAAGTGTAAACTATAGGCCAATATTTTTGGTACCTAGAATTTTTTAAATTCACCTAATAAAAAATACACACACACACCTTGACTATCGCTCCCACTTCTGAAAATCTTTGATACAGATATTCATTAGTAACACATGGAGATAGAAGTATAAACATGCCTATTTCCTTATTGTTTGGATTAGGAAAAATAATCAAATTAATGTATTAAAAATTAGGAGAATGGTTAAATAAATTATGATATATACATATATATCATATGTGTAGATATGTGTAGTATATATGTACTATATATAATATACTGTATACACACTATAGAATATTTTGCTTTTAAGCTGTAGAATATGATCCTCTTTGCAGGATAAGAAAGAACAAAACCAAATAGTTTACATTAATGAAGTCAACACACCTGATATTTGCTACAGTCAAATATCTGTACTTTACAGCTTTAACTTATTAGACTACCAGTTGTAACATGGTCAAGAGTATGAATTCTTGAGCCAGAGCTTTCTGTTCAAATGCTGGCTCTACTACTATGAGCTCTGTGACCTTAGAGAAATTACTTAACCACTCTGTGCCTCAATTTACACTTCTATAAAATAGAAATAACAGTAAATGTCCAACTCAGGATTTCTGTAAGGATTAAATGTGTTACTACATATAAAGAGCTAAGTATAGCACTTTACTGATACATAGTAAACATTAAATATTTGCTGTTATTAGTAATAAAGTCTGAGATTTCAACTCATTCTAGAATCTGAAGTAAAAAGAATTAAGATCATAATTGCTTTAACTAGAGTATCAGACTCTAAGCAAGTTTCTTTTTCTTTATTCAAGGAAAGAAATAACCAAAAACCCATATACAGAATTCTCCACTATGTCACTTTAAAAAATAAAACTCTAATAAAACCATAGTACTAAAGTTGTCTTTTCACAAAAAGGTAAAAGTACTCCTTACTCATCATATAATCCTGTATTTTAAGCCTGACACTTTTTTTCTTTTCTTCACCTCCTTATCCAAAATTATGCCCAGGTGCAGAAAAGGATTTGAGTTAGTAAAAGGGAATTCACTGCCATCTAAACTCCATATGGTCACAAGAGATACCAGAAAATGAAAGAAGTTTCAGTCAAAAAGACACTCGCAGTAAAACTGAATTTTTAAAGCTACATCTGTCATATTATTTGTGCCACATGAATCATTTGGTTGCAATGAGGACAAAAGGAACTCAGTGCTAGGACTGTAGGATATGTGAGTATTTCGTGTGTGTGTGTGTGTGTCTTTCTCACAGAACATATGTTATCCCACTTGGATTTTGGCAAAGGTGAAGTTGGACCATGTAATAAAATATAGTGTTACACAATCAAAATGTTGGGGTTTAGTCCTTATCTGAAGAAAAGCATTTGATTTGAATTTGGATTATGTGGCTGTGTTGACATTTTAGCTAGGCCTATAAAAAAAGATGCTTTTATCTTTTCCAAATCAGCTCTTCTTTTTCCCTCCTCCCCTGGTGTGTGGCACTCAACAACAGGAAGGGAAACTTTGCAGACAATAAATGCAGCCGAACCATGAAAAAAATAAAATGGAATCGCTCTGCGACTCACATGGTGTGGCTACAGCAAGGCAGATCCTACAGAGTTGGAAGCATATCACCCTGAGCATCTGCACCACTCCTCCTTGGAGAGTGCATACTAATCATCTCTCTTCATGGTCAGTAACCACATAAGGACACCACCAGACGATGCCAGTGGTTTTGATCCTGTAGCATTTATATGCTTCCCTGCAAAGATAGTCATGCCAGATAATATTCGTCAACCTTGTCCTTGGTCTTCTCTCTTGATTGAGGCAGATGTTTATTTTCCATCTGTACTGTATGTCAGTGCAACTGCAGCCTTCATCTGGCAAAGGGTGCCTGTGATATTATGAGGCCATCACATAAGCTGCTGGAAAGATTACTCTGGTGAATAAAATCAGTTTATGGCTAAAAACATTTATTCTTCATTTTGATAAGCTCTTAACAAATGGAAATTTGCTTTCTTCCACTTTTGCCAAGCATAGGACCATGTTTATTTCTCGCTATATGGGTCACGAAGGATTCCCAGCTGTTAGCTAGAGTCAGTTGTGCATTGCTGCACTCAACAACATCTGTTTCACAAAAACAGTATCCAGCTTTTAGCGCTCAAATGGAGGCTATACCATATGCCGGCAGACCACTTAGTTTTTACCTTGGGAACTAACTTTACCCTAGTCAAGGTAACAGAGGAAAAACTGAACATTTAAATGTTACCCAGCTTCAGTCACATCTTCATGTGGGCTTGTCATTTCCAACAATATATAGTAAAATTAGTTTCAAGCATATACCACAAGCTGTTCCTCTGTTTAATTATTAATTGGAAGAAAGTTTGCAAAACAGTCGAAATGTATTTAGTGATAGACCCTGATGTTGAAAGTAGTGCCATCAGATGATTTTGCAAACAGAGCATATTAGTGACTATGATAACCTAATATGTTGTCTTAGAATTTTTTCATGGAATGAATATTTTAAAAATAATACTAAAGAACATTAACATTCTATATTTAGGTCTTCTACTTTTCTTAGTTCAAAAAATGAAGACATTGGTCCTTCTAAGGCCCATTCTAAGTGCTGTGATTCTACAATAGTACATAATGATTACTCAGAAAAGTCTGTGTGTTTTCTCTATGGGCAGAAGCATTCGTTTTTTAAGGTTTCTTTGATGGTATGACAAATGCCAAGAGATTTTCCTGAGTCAAAACTTTAATTATGAAGCCAGAGCATCAAGAAGGCCTTACCTGGACCTCAGTTGGGGAACATCTTAAGTCTCCTAATTTCATTTTCAAAGACAGTAAGAAATATGTCCATCTCGGGACTGAATTTCTATAGAGACTCTGGAACAACCAAGTTAGAAACCTGATGAATAATTACCACAACTAATTATTAGGTTATTCAGATTTTTCATCTGTGAACTTGCATATAAGGTTATAAATCCACCTCTGGATTAATCACCCAATTAAAAGGAAGAAATAAATAGGTTATTAGCATGAGCAGGCTATTCCAATCCTTAACTTTGATTACCTTCTTCTTTAGAGAACTGCCTGTTTTAGAAACTAAATCAGGGTTTGTGGCTTTGGGGAGAAATGTGGAAGAATAGTTGCCAGGATCCTGGTGCTGAGACATCTTCCAATACCACTGCAGCCATATTTCTTGTTTGGAGCAACCCCTTCTAGGTGGAATCAGCCTGGGGAAATGCATTTATTCCACTCTCTAGAATCCTGTCACCCCACCCTGTGGTTCTTAAGCCCTGCTGAGGAGTCAATAGCATAGACTCGGGGGTAGAAGTCTGGGCAGACTCAGGGGGTGTCAGTGACTGGCTTTGGGGCTGGGCCATTCCCCCCACTTTAGCATAAACCTGACTGGCACTTTCTCCTCATGAGGAGATCTGAAAGATCTCCTGGTTTTAGACAGACCCAACCTCTAGGCTCCAGAGGTCCCACCCACCTGACTACTAGGGGCTCCACCCTGCCAACTTCAGGGAAAAATCTGGAACAGATACAAATGTGTGACTCTGGGGCGAGGGATCACACCCACCATCTTCCCAGAAGCCTGAAAGACACCTCCATTAGCTCCATCCTCCCAGTTCTGTCAGAGGCTCTTTCAGTGACTGAGTCTTTTCAGTAACTAAGCCTAACAGGCAGCCAGCAGGTCGAGACAGGCAGAGGTGGATCCCAGGATGCCTTGGGATGTTTGTTGACCTACCCTTGGGTCCAGTGCTGGTAAAAGCCAGCTTTGGAGTGTAGCTTGGTCCTTCCCATGTGAAGCCAAGCCCAGAAGAGGTAGCCACAAACTGTGGATCGTTGTAGCTTCAAACTGGTTGCTGAGGGCCAGGCATAGACAGCATCTGACATTGGCTTACACCAGAGTCACTCCCAAGAAGCCCAGGACCGACACACCAAGTCGCCAGGTTCAGACAGCATCAGAGCAGGATCCAACAAGCTTCACAAACAGCATATCCAAAGGAAGATCGCAACAGGCAATAAGTCTGCTGAGGCCAACTCTGCTTCTTTCTTTTTTTATTCTTTTCTTTCTTTTTTCTTTTTTATTTCATTTTTTTATTTTTCCTTTTATTATTCTATTCTTTCCCTTTTTCCCCTTTTTTATTTTCTTATTCTTTATTTGTTCCTTTTGATATTCTTTTTTCTTTTCTTCTTCTTCTTTTTTTTTTACAATGTTTTTTTGATGTTTTTTTCTCAGTACCTATATAGGACCTTGCAAGCCATGGTTGGAGTTGAACCCCACAGTCAGCCAGCCTGAGGATTGATCCCACCCTCGAATGGGCCAATAGTGATCAAGACCCAATAACAACAGGAGGGCCCACATGCATTCATGGCCTCGTATGTCGAAAGATCTGAATGGCAATTTCATGACTAGGGTGTAACTCAAACAAGATAAAACATAATCTTTCATTCCCCTTGGGGTAATTTTACTCAACTTGAGGTGTCTATTGCATAATTAACTTCTTCTATGAAAAAACCTCTAATTTATAGTACTTTTTAGTCATGTTATAAAGACAGATGAGCTCATCAAATGGAATACATTTCAATTAAAGATACAAGAAATGAACACATGGCAAAAGGTTAATAGACCTTATAAAAATTAAATCTTTTGTTTCCAAAAAGTTGATGTTCTTAGTTCTTAAATTAATCGTCCTGCATGACTACTGTTTACTGAGGTCAGTTTCAGGGAGGGAATGTGGTTCTCAGAATTGTGTTTTAATATGTGAACCAGCAAAGATACTCTCAAAGAAACAACTTAGTTATTATATAGTCATTTGTGTTGTATCAATTTATTTTTTTAATTAACAATTAGCTGCAATCAAGAGAGGATGAAAAACAAAAGACAACCTAAAATAATAAAACTCACTTTCTAGGCTTTTGAAAAGAACTCTGGGAAACATTAGTCTTTAGCTGTTAATTGAAAATAATCTTACTTCCCCATAAATACTTATCTTTGAGTTACTTATAAAAGTCCTAGAGTAACTTCTTAAGAAGCTCTAACAAAATCACTTCCTTCCCTTTTATCATTAATGATGATTGTGCAAAGCTCTGAGCAAATTTAAGTTTTATCATTGACAAACTAGGATTAGAATGTGCCATTGGCTTTCTTTGCATATTAGATTTTCAAAAATAAAGGAAAACTTCTGTATGTGCCTATAATTCTTCTTACTCTTCTCTTTATTCTCAAATATTTAGACATAGAATGACTATATAATTTATTGTAAAAATATTTTTAAAACTTTTTAAAAGAAAAGGGGACATAACTAAGAATTATTCTAGGACAACTGGTATAACTGGAATATAGTATTACCCTATTTAAAGAGCACTTTGAGCTCATCTTTCTTTTATTGTTAACTGTAGAAAATGGGTTATAAACTCTCTTAACAGCATTTATGTCAAGTTCAAAGTTTTTCTTCTCAGTCCCCATTTGAAAATTATGTGTAAAAAGACATGTCCTTAGGAGCTATGTGAGGTTTGATCCATGAGCACAAGTGCTGCTAAAAATAATTATAGAAAACAGATTCTTTAACCTTGATGACACAGTCACCCGTTTCCCCATTCATGGGCTAATTATTGAGAATTTACTAGATTTGGCCTATATTGATCAGCAAGACCCACAATTCATTGCCTCGCTAGTCTGTCATTTGGTGAGCAAATATTTAGAAAATATGGCTAAAAGGGCTGTGTTGAGGATGGCTCATGGTGCCATGGCAATACCTGTGAGGGGCACCAAGCTTGGACATGGGGTGAGGGAATGTTCAGGGGATGGCTTCCTGGAGAAGCAAGAACTTAATGATGACTTCATAGTCAAGTGAAAGAACATTTACAGGGATGGGCTGTAAGATGGAGAAGAAAGAGTGGGATGAAAAGGTTTTCAGGAAGAGGGAACAGCATGCATACAGGCCCCAAGGACAAAGAGATCAAGGGAACTAAAGGTAGTTTGGCATGAGGGAGACTGTAGTGGGGGAGAATGTAGAGACAGCAGGTCACTGGGGTTGGAGAGGGTGGACAATTTGGAGCCCCAGGCCTAACCCAGGCAAGAAATAGCAGTTGGCTGAATCAAGGAAGTGAGAATGAAGACACCAGATCTCCAGCTTGAGGGAACTTCCTAGTACCATATTGTAGTCTTTACATTAGGCAGGATCAAACAGAATATTGGCTCCCAGTTGTTTTAAACCAGACAGTTCTGCCTGTGATTTCTAGCGTGTGCTCAGCGGCAAAGCAAATGTCTCTCAGCCATAGCGCTGATCTGATAGATGATACCGAACACCCACACCCAGTGGGGAGAAGCTGGTTTTCTTCCATACCTGAGCACCTCACAGAAGCCCTCCAATCATCCCAACCCCCAGTTCAGGGCTATAGGAAGGTGTTTAGTTACTTTTAACTTTTGGATTGTATTTTCCAAGTAAATTTTGTTTAAAATTTAAAATCCCTGGGGATTTTTAAAAGTTCAGTTAAGAACCAGAACTTTTGTTTACCACTTACTGTACCAAATAATGGGGCCAATGGACATTACTAGTCCATTCTTGACTTCTGGGGAGTCAACACCTGCTAGGGGGATTGCAACAACACGCCAGCAGTCGTGCACAGGGGCGGGGAAGGCGTTAGGTGATGTTCGATAGAAGAGCCAGAAAAACCCTTTCTTATGAAAGTGAAATTACTTCTGCTAAAATTTTTAGTATCAATTCCTTTTTCCACTGGCATAGATAGGGGTATGTGCATGCGTGTATACCTGGTAAAAAATATGCTGGGGATTTTCTGAAGAAAGTGAAGAAATAAAAGAATTGTGTGATAAAATTGTACTTGGGCTCTAAAGAAACCTCAATTTTCCATGACACCTCAACACCCATCAGCTGCTGTGTCCATTTTGTCCCAGCCCCTCTAATCTGTAACAAAGTCATCTTTACAGACCAATGTTTCTTTGTTTTCAATCACTGGCCCCATGATAATCAGGTAAAACCGGAAATCCTTTCCTTAGGAAAAAAATCTAATCAAAATTTTTGCACAGGATTAGAGAGTATTTTTTCTCCTCCAAATTTCTATATAGAATTTATGGACTCCCTGACACCCATCTATGGAATCCTATTAAAGAACCTCTGCTCCATACTGAACTCCCTGAGGGTAGGGGACAGATGAGGAATATCATCATATTCATGCTTTATTCCCACCTTCTGGCTGAAGGTAAGACAAATTTTTTTTCAACAAATAGCAAACAGTAATAATAAAACAGATTTTATCACCCAGCATGTATTAAGTGCTTACTAATTGCAAACATTTTTTCTAAGTCTCATATAGCTAATTAAATTCACAGCAACCTTTGAGGTAGATTTTATTATTTCTCTTTTACAGATGAGAAGCAGTTCAGAAAAGTTGTGTAACTTCTTCACGGCATAAGCTCAGAAGTGATAAAGCAAAGTTTCATACCCAGACATACTGACACCCAAATCAGTGCTTTCTATAATTATGTCAGGGAAGAAATAAATGAATGAATTAAAGCCTTTTCAGATGTCATAAACCTAGCAGATCAAGGTTTAAGTTGTATCTTCTTTAAATTCTTCATAAATATTTGCCTAAAATTAGCTAGGAGATGGTAACTCAGATTTCCTACAGTTCAAATGCATGAGAAAAGAACTTTTGCTGTTCTACAGCTAAGGAAAAAAATGTGCCAGGAAATCCCAGCTTTTCCTATTCTATAGATTATGAATACCAGTAACTTCCCTATAGGTCTTCTCATTCATCCCTTGTTATTAAAAACAAATAGTCTGTCCTGTGATTCCCAAGGCAAAAAGTCCCAAGCACCTAAGATAAGCAAATGTCACCATGGAGTTATTTTTAAAGGTAGATCACAGGTTCTTCCAGATCAACTAATATTTCCCAACAGAGAAATGCACACTATTACTAGATTTTTTACTCCCGTTTTTCTTCTCAATTGGTATTTTTATTGTAATTTGTTGCTGCTCTATTTCCCCCATTTTTAGCTCTCTATTACTTCCATTTAAGTTCTCCCTAACCTATAAGCCTGATGAGCTTTCTATAAAGAAAGCAGGAAAGATATTAAAAATAAGAGGATTTTCCAGGTGGGTTCTCCCAAGCTCTCTGTTCTCTCATTATAATAAAGATTTTACAGTTACATCTGCAAAGTTCTTTTAAAAAGAAAAAGGTATATAAAGGGGGAAGATAAAAAAGAGCCCGAGATATGCCATCACTCTTCTCCCACCACCGTCCAGATGTGCAGAGGATTAGAGGACGGTACGGAGACCATGGTGAGACGGAGTGGGCGTGCACTGGAACACTCCAGCTCCCTTTACCAAAGCATCAGGTTCACCTTTCCTTCCAAAACGGATGTCCTTACCTATAAGTGAGCCCACTTAAAAGTATCCATCCCATATTTATATATCGTATTACATTTTTTTTGAGATTCAACTAGTTACCAAGAATTAAGGAAAGCACACAACTAATCATTGGTCTCTAGACATCCAACCTTTAGCTGAAATAAAACAAGGGGACAAGGTGGGGAAAGTCCATTTCATTTCATGTTGCTGTAAAATTGCTCTAAGAGTTATTTTTATTAAAATTCTCTAATTTTTATATCTGCTAATTAGATATGTCAATGTAACAAACGTCCAAACCTGTAGAGAATTTTTATGAGTTTGTTTGAGCCAAACACTGATGACAATTGCTAGGAAGCAAAATCTCAGCAGATTGAGAAAATGTTCCAAAGAATGGCAGTTTTATAGCTGATTTTATACATTACAATCAAAGCAGGAGGCCTAAGGAGGGTTACATGGAATCCATTAGTGGTAGGATAAGCGGGTGGGAGAAAGCAAAATGGAGAGGAAGTCTCTGGGATTGGATAAAAAGTAAAATGGAGAGACACATACTTCTTTTACATTGGTGGGTACAGGATAGTTAGTAATTAGCTATGTAATTAGCATTTATGGCACATAGAGATTGTAGGAAGGGAACAAAATAACAATGAACAAAATAACAATGAGGGGTTCTGTGGTTTCTTGCTTTTGTGTAGAGATTGTGCCCTGAGGGGTCTGGAAAAGATTACTCTGACATTTCCAAGGTTTGTTATCTTAGATACAAAAAGATAATAGACGGGTTCATGTAAGGTAGAGATTGGCTTTGTCAAGGAAGCTATTGGCCTACCTGTCATGACTCACTTTTAGTTAGGAATATTTATGTTCAGATCAGCCTATGTGGTTACTGTCAGTCTCTGAGTTTCTCTGGTTTAGTATGTGTTCCCCTTTTTCATCCACAGATAAATGTCCAATATTTGTCTATCTGTAAGTATGAACATCTGTTTAGAATTGTTAAATAAATGGGCAAGTAACTAAGATTATGACATGGGCTCCGAGTGACTTCTGCTTTCAGATGAACATTTCACATTATGCATTTTTGTACCAAGAAAACGTAACCAGCCGTGTGAAACCAGCCCAGGATACTTTAAAATCATCTTTCTTTTGGCTTCTTGTCTTGATCCACTTGCTATGGAATAGGAAGGACAGGAAAAATAAAATAAAAACATCTAAATATTTAAAATTAACAATGTTCTCATAAGTTAGAAAGTTGTCATTTGAAATTATCCTCATATTAAATTAACTGAAGGAGCAGTTCCAAAGCAAATAATGTGTTTGAGAGCAGTCATTCTCATTCCTGAATTAGTGTCATTATTTTATCTACAGAAAAATAGTAAATCAATATCCTGAAGAAAAGAGGGTAGTTTTCTACTTGTTAGATTTTCCATGGGCATGAATTAAAGCCTTCAAAAGAATTTTTTTGTTGTGCTCACATCATTAAGAGACATGCTTATCTAGTTGAAGAAATCCTCCACTAGAAGACCTACTTATTGCTAAGAGTAGAAACAAAGTACCTAGCTCTCAGAGCAAGGGCCTCAGCAACAAACCCACTAGGTTTGATGCAACCATAATATAGAGAATTATGCAATAACAATTATGTTTAGAAAACATGAATTCTACAGAAAACAATTCATAATAGAAGAATGAAAGAGAGAGAAAATGGCTTATTTTCCCTCCAGATTTACTCTCAACCTTACTCCACAGAGTGGTGATTGAGCCTTATTTGCCCCCATCTCTTCCATCTATCTAGAGATGAATACTGAACATGATCTCTGCCCCCCAGATGTCCTACCATGTATGAGAGAGAAGCTAGAGCAAGACAGGTGTGCCTGTGGGGCTGAGACACACATCCTGTGTTGAGGATGGCTCATGGTGCCATGGCAATACCTGTGAGGGGCACCAAGCTTGGACATGGGGTGAGGGAATGTTCAGGGGATGGCTTCCTGGAGAAGCAAGAACTTAATGATGACTTCATAGTCAAGTGAAAGAACATTTACAGGGATGGGCTGTAAGATGGAGAAGAAAGAGTGGGATGAAAAGGTTTTCAGGAAGAGGGAACAGCATGCATACAGGCCCCAAGGACAAAGAGATCAAGGGAACTAAAGGTAGTTTGGCATGAGGGAGACTGTAGTGGGGGAGAATGTAGAGACAGCAGGTCACTGGGGTTGGAGAGGGTGGACAATTTGGAGCCCCAGGCCTAACCCAGGCAAGAAATAGCAGTTGGCTGAATCAAGGAAGTGAGAATGAAGACACCAGATCTCCAGCTTGAGGGAACTTCCTAGTACCATATTGTAGTCTTTACATTAGGCAGGATCAAACAGAATATTGGCTCCCAGTTGTTTTAAACCAGACAGTTCTGCCTGTGATTTCTAGCGTGTGCTCAGCGGCAAAGCAAATGTCTCTCAGCCATAGCGCTGATCTGATAGATGATACCGAACACCCACACCCAGTGGGGAGAAGCTGGTTTTCTTCCATACCTGAGCACCTCACAGAAGCCCTCCAATCATCCCAACCCCCAGTTCAGGGCTATAGGAAGGTGTTTAGTTACTTTTAACTTTTGGATTGTATTTTCCAAGTAAATTTTGTTTAAAATTTAAAATCCCTGGGGATTTTTAAAAGTTCAGTTAAGAACCAGAACTTTTGTTTACCACTTACTGTACCAAATAATGGGGCCAATGGACATTACTAGTCCATTCTTGACTTCTGGGGAGTCAACACCTGCTAGGGGGATTGCAACAACACGCCAGCAGATCGTGCACAGGGCGGGGAAGGCGTTAGGTGATGTTCGATAGAAGAGCCAGAAAAACCCTTTCTTATGAAAGTGAAATTACTTCTGCTAAAATTTTTAGTATCAATTCCTTTTTCCACTGGCATAGATAGGGGTATGTGCATGCGTGTATACCTGGTAAAAAATATGCTGGGGATTTTCTGAAGAAAGTGAAGAAATAAAAGAATTGTGTGATAAAATTGTACTTGGGCTCTAAAGAAACCTCAATTTTCCATGACACCTCAACACCCATCAGCTGCTGTGTCCATTTTGTCCCAGCCCCTCTAATCTGTAACAAAGTCATCTTTATAGACCAATGTTTCTTTGTTTTCAATCACTGGCCCCATGATAATCAGGTAAAACCGGAAATCCTTTCCTTAGGAAAAAAATCTAATCAAAATTTTTGCACAGGATTAGAGAGTATTTTTTCTCCTCCAAATTTCTATATAGAATTTATGGACTCCCTGACACCCATCTATGGAATCCTATTAAAGAACCTCTGCTCCATACTGAACTCCCTGAGGGTAGGGGACAGATGAGGAATATCATCATATTCATGCTTTATTCCCACCTTCTGGCTGAAGGTAAGACAAATTTTTTTTCAACAAATAGCAAACAGTAATAATAAAACAGATTTTATCACCCAGCATGTATTAAGTGCTTACTAATTGCAAACATTTTTTCTAAGTCTCATATAGCTAATTAAATTCACAGCAACCTTTGAGGTAGATTTTATTATTTCTCTTTTACAGATGAGAAGCAGTTCAGAAAAGTTGTGTAACTTCTTCACGGCATAAGCTCAGAAGTGATAAAGCAAAGTTTCATACCCAGACATACTGACACCCAAATCAGTGCTTTCTATAATTATGTCAGGGAAGAAATAAATGAATGAATTAAAGCCTTTTCAGATGTCATAAACCTAGCAGATCAAGGTTTAAGTTGTATCTTCTTTAAATTCTTCATAAATATTTGCCTAAAATTAGCTAGGAGATGGTAACTCAGATTTCCTACAGTTCAAATGCATGAGAAAAGAACTTTTGCTGTTCTACAGCTAAGGAAAAAAATGTGCCAGGAAATCCCAGCTTTTCTTATTCTATAGATTATGAATACCAGTAACTTCCCTATAGGTCTTCTCATTCATCCCTTGTTATTAAAAACAAATAGTCTGTCCTGTGATTCCCAAGGCAAAAAGTCCCAAGCACCTAAGATAAGCAAATGTCACCATGGAGTTATTTTTAAAGGTAGATCACAGGTTCTTCCAGATCAACTAATATTTCCCAACAGAGAAATGCACACTATTACTAGATTTTTTACTCCCGTTTTTCTTCTCAATTGGTATTTTTATTGTAATTTGTTGCTGCTCTATTTCCCCCATTTTTAGCTCTCTATTACTTCCATTTAAGTTCTCCCTAACCTATAAGCCTGATGAGCTTTCTATAAAGAAAGCAGGAAAGATATTAAAAATAAGAGGATTTTCCAGGTGGGTTCTCCCAAGCTCTCTGTTCTCTCATTATAATAAAGATTTTACAGTTACATCTGCAAAGTTCTTTTAAAAAGAAAAAGGTATATAAAGGGGGAAGATAAAAAAGAGCCCGAGATATGCCATCACTCTTCTCCCACCACCGTCCAGATGTGCAGAGGATTAGAGGACGGTACGGAGACCATGGTGAGACGGAGTGGGCGTGCACTGGAACACTCCAGCTCCCTTTACCAAAGCATCAGGTTCACCTTTCCTTCCAAAACGGATGTCCTTACCTATAAGTGAGCCCACTTAAAAGTATCCATCCCATATTTATATATCGTATTACATTTTTTTTGAGATTCAACTAGTTACCAAGAATTAAGGAAAGCACACAACTAATCATTGGTCTCTAGACATCCAACCTTTAGCTGAAATAAAACAAGGGGACAAGGTGGGGAAAGTCCATTTCATTTCATGTTGCTGTAAAATTGCTCTAAGAGTTATTTTTATTAAAATTCTCTAATTTTTATATCTGCTAATTAGATATGTCAATGTAACAAACGTCCAAACCTGTAGAGAATTTTTATGAGTTTGTTTGAGCCAAACACTGATGACAATTGCTAGGAAGCAAAATCTCAGCAGATTGAGAAAATGTTCCAAAGAATGGCAGTTTTATAGCTGATTTTATACATTACAATCAAAGCAGGAGGCCTAAGGAGGGTTACATGGAATCCATTAGTGGTAGGATAAGGGGGTGGGAGAAAGCAAAATGGAGAGGAAGTCTCTGGGATTGGATAAAAAGTAAAATGGAGAGACACATACTTCTTTTACATTGGTGGGTACAGGATAGTTAGTAATTAGCTATGTAATTAGCATTTATGGCACATAGAGATTGTAGGAAGGGAACAAAATAACAATGAACAAAATAACAATGAGGGGTTCTGTGGTTTCTTGCTTTTGTGTAGAGATTGTGCCCTGAGGGGTCTGGAAAAGATTACTCTGACATTTCCAAGGTTTGTTATCTTAGATACAAAAAGATAATAGACGGGTTCATGTAAGGTAGAGATTGGCTTTGTCAAGGAAGCTATTGGCCTACCTGTCATGACTCACTTTTAGTTAGGAATATTTATGTTCAGATCAGCCTATGTGGTTACTGTCAGTCTCTGAGTTTCTCTGGTTTAGTATGTGTTCCCCTTTTTCATCCACAGATAAATGTCCAATATTTGTCTATCTGTAAGTATGAACATCTGTTTAGAATTGTTAAATAAATGGGCAAGTAACTAAGATTATGACATGGGCTCCGAGTGACTTCTGCTTTCAGATGAACATTTCACATTATGCATTTTTGTACCAAGAAAACGTAACCAGCCGTGTGAAACCAGCCCAGGATACTTTAAAATCATCTTTCTTTTGGCTTCTTGTCTTGATCCACTTGCTATGGAATAGGAAGGACAGGAAAAATAAAATAAAAACATATAAATATTTAAAATTAACAATGTTCTCATAAGTTAGAAAGTTGTCATTTGAAATTATCCTCATATTAAATTAACTGAAGGAGCAGTTCCAAAGCAAATAATGTGTTTGAGAGCAGTCATTCTCATTCCTGAATTAGTGTCATTATTTTATCTACAGAAAAATAGTAAATCAATATCCTGAAGAAAAGAGGGTAGTTTTCTACTTGTTAGATTTTCCATGGGCATGAATTAAAGCCTTCAAAAGAATTTTTTTGTTGTGCTCACATCATTAAGAGACATGCTTATCTAGTTGAAGAAATCCTCCACTAGAAGACCTACTTATTGCTAAGAGTAGAAACAAAGTACCTAGCTCTCAGAGCAAGGGCCTCAGCAACAAACCCACTAGGTTTGATGCAACCATAATATAGAGAATTATGCAATAACAATTATGTTTAGAAAACATGAATTCTACAGAAAACAATTCATAATAGAAGAATGAAAGAGAGAGAAAATGGCTTATTTTCCCTCCAGATTTACTCTCAACCTTACTCCACAGAGTGGTGATTGAGCCTTATTTGCCCCCATCTCTTCCATCTATCTAGAGATGAATACTGAACATGATCTCTGCCCCCCAGATGTCCTACCATGTATGAGAGAGAAGCTAGAGCAAGACAGGTGTGCCTGTGGGGCTGAGACACACATCAGGGTAGATGTTTGGTAAACAGATCACCAGAAAAACAAGGTAATTTCAGTAGATGACAGGTTCTACTGGAAAATGACACAAGGTACTGGAGAGTGTCAAGGGAGGCTAAACTGAATTGGGATTGTTTTTATTTTAAATATATTTTATTGGTTTTTTACAGAGAGGAAGGGAGAGGGATAGAGAGCCAGAAACATCAATGAGAGAGAAACATCGATCAGCTGCCTCCTGCACACCCCCTACTGGGGATGTGCCTGCAACCAAGGTACATGCCCTTGACCGGAATCAAACCTGGGACTCTTCAGTCCACAGGCCGACGCTCTAGCCACTGAGCCAAACTGGTCAGGGCATGAATTAGGATTGTTAAAGAACACAATTCAAACAAGTAAATTTAAAGATCTAATTGACTCTATTAAGTGATTCATGAATTGGGCAGTATCCCATCTAGCAACTAGAAGGGTGCTCCAAGGGGTAGTAAAAAAATGGAAGGATTTTATAGAAAGAATAGGAAGGGTTATTTTTGAAAAAAATAGGAAGGGTTATTTTTAGACCAGGATTTTACAAAAAGAATAGGAAGGGTTATTTTTAGACCAGGACATTTTCTTTTGGGGGAGAAGGAACTGCAAGGGTTTTTATCAGACAGATCGCCTCTTCTTTCTATGGGGAGAGGAGACAGAGAGGGCCCACATGACAGATTACCTCATTAGTACTGACCAGAAAATTCCAGAATGGTTGATTAAGATATATTTCTAAGAAAGGTTGAGATAACAATTAGGTCAAGTATTACATCTAGGTTTGTTGTCACGGGCTTGAGCATAAGTGATGCCATTTTGGGCTTGTGATTTTCTCTTTAGCAGAATTTAGGAAAAGACCTCTCTAAGGAATGAGATTGGAGATGGAAGGAGCCAACTATGTAAAGATCTGGAGAAAGCACATTTCAGGCAGAAGGCAGAGCAGATACTCAGACTGAGAGGTGGGAAAAGGCAGCAGGATAGAGGAAAATCAGAGGGACCCAGTGAGTGAACAAAGGTGAGAAATGATGCAATGAGGTCAGTAAGGGAGATAAGAAATAAAAGCCAATCTGTCCATTCTGACAACAGTTTTCATGGGTGGCTTATGGGAGAGGTCATACTTGGATTTATAAAGCTGGATAGGGCTCTTCAAGTTGAACTCAGCCCACCCCATACACAAACAGCCTGACAATAAGCCCTGACACAATACCTCTCATACTTGCCAAGACAATGATGCAACTCACCTTTTACTACATGCTCTTTCTCTAATCTTTCCAGTTGGCTCTCTAAACCCTGGTCTACCACTCTGTAATTCACCCCTCGACTCCTTGACTATCTAGCTTCAACCAACAATGCTTCTCCAAACTATCTGCTGGAAAAACATATCTCTGCCCATAGCATGGGCCAGAAGGGACAGGGTAGCCAAGCCTGTCACTCAGTTCACTGCTGAGGGAAGGGAACTGGATAAAAGGAAGACACCCTCACTCCCCACTGTAGCCTGGTAACTGCTGAATGGAGTGAAGGAGCAATGAGCAGGAAGAGGGACTGCCATGGAATAGAATCCAGAGTCACATGGGAGCCCAGGGAGGGCAACAAATGCTAGTAGAGGCAGAGACCATGGCTGTGGCCTGGTATCATGACCCTGTTCTTCCTCTCTATCTCTCAGGGAGAGGATGGCAGCTTTGGTTAGTGTATCAAGTTCCATATTCTCTCTGGTGACGCAGCTGTTGGAAGTTATCTCCATCACTAGACTAAGTTGCAAGAACTATATGTACTCATCTTTGTATCTTTAGTGGGTAGCATATGTTAGCTGCTCAAGTAATAGTTGTTAAATGATTTATGTTCAATGATGTTCATCACAGCATTTTAAGGGAATAATCAGAAGCTGCTTAAACATCCCATTTTGATACAACCATAATATAGAGAATTATGCAATAAAATTATGTTTTAGAAAACATGCATTCTATAGAAAATAATTCTTAATAGAGGAGAGAGAGAGAGAGAGAGAGAGAGAGAGAGAGAGAGAGTTTTTCCCTCCAGATTTACTCTCAACTTTACCCCACAGGGTGGTGATAGAGCCTTGTTTGCCTGGGACAGTTATGCTATTGTCCTGGGTTTATTGGCATTATGAGTAATTCACTCCTTCCCACTCTCAAAAGCATCCTATTCTTGCAATAAATTTTAAAGTCACCCTTTGGTTCTGAGTCCCTCAAGGAGTCCCAGGTGCAATAGGAATGATAGCCTGGTCTCTTGCTCCCTGGTTTCTACCTGAGTTGGTCCAGGGGGAGCACTGACTGGTGATTGACAGTAGGGAGGAGGCTAGTGGGGTACAAGAGTTTGTTCCCACAGCTCCTTCTCTGCAAAGCCAGTCTGGGCCTGTTGTATCTCTCTGCCAAAAGGCCAGGCAGCTGTTTTCACACCTAGAGTTTCTCAACCTCCAGGTCCCAGGACCTCTTCCTCCCATTACCTCATTAGGCTTCTAGGTAAAATCAGGCTCCCTGCTGTTTCCACTGTCTCTTCCAGTTTCCCTACAACCAGCCCACATCTTTGTAAACAGTCTCTTTATGAAACTCTCCTCAGAATGTCCCAATGTGAGTGTGCCATCTGTTTTCCGCTGGCAACCTGGTTGATTATCAGAGACAGCAACAGAGATACACAGAGACAAAGAGAAAGAGGGGGAAAAAAAGCATCACCAAAATGTTCTCAGTGGTTATCTCTGTGGGGCAAAAGTATAAATGATATTCATTAGGAAGGCTTTGTTTGTGTTTTGATGTTTTCTAATTTTTCTCCATTTAGCATGTATTTATATTTAGAGAAATGATACAAAATAAGGTGCAAATTTGCTGAAGAAACTAATAAATTATTGAAATACCCTTTCCCTACCTCTAGAATCAGAGTTCATGTTCAAGCTTGATTCATATTCAAACTAAAATGTGCTTCTTATGAGTGTATGTTCAGTTTAAAGAGCATTGCTATCATGCTTGCTATTTATTGAACCATCACCATGACATTCTTTCTATGTCCATTATTTTATTTAATCCTTACAACCAAAGATAGATGTTACTAATCCCATATTACAGAAGAGAAAAGGAAAGCTCAGAGAAATTATGTCATCTGCCCACGGCCATTTAGGTAAGAAGAGGCAAAGCCAAGATTTAAGCCCATGCTCCCAGCCACTTCCTCCCATAAATTATATAGACATGCCCATAGACACATTAATTAAAGCATGGCATAAAATCCCTTTGAGAACAGAGTGTTCTTTTGTCCTAAAAAATTAATTGGCCTTTTGATTATGCAAATATAAAGTAAGAAAAAATTCTATTCTCCCTGTCTTTAGAGAACGGGCCTTGGATAGGAAGGAAAGCTGTGCTCAAGGGGACTCCTATCCGCAGTGACCCCAGAGCTTAGAGACAGGGTGGCACCCAACATTAAAGAGAAAAGCTACCAGTAGGCTACTCTAGTAGAAAAGACAAGCCTCTCATTTCTGAGAATCCTATCTACTAGGTGTGGTTTGCGTGTTTTTTACACTGTAATACCCGTTTGGTGTTTCCCAGTCTTCGGTACATCTAGTTAAGTAAGGTTTGTTCTCATCTAGGCTGAGGTGAATTAACTGTAATCTGTTTCCTCACGTAGGATAAAGTGACTTAAGGGGAGGAAGAGAAGGCCAGCAGGGCTGTCTGTGGAGCGGTGGTCCAGAGCTAGACCACTGGCTGGGTCAGGTGACCTCCAGAACCAATCTTGGGAGCATGTATGCATTCCCTGGGGATTTCCAGTCAGACTAGTGCCTCTTCTATCATTGCATTTAGATTCTTTTTATGAGTAGGTGCTATGACGTCTGTCAACTGGAGGTCGGGGCTATGTCTTGTTTTGTATTTGTATTCTCTGGCCCTAGCACAGTGCTTCGCGTATAGGAAGAACTCAATTTCCTTCTTTTAAACTAAAGGAAAAAAACACACAGAAAAAAATGTTTTAAAAATAAATTATTCAGACTTATTTTCTCATTTTAGGAATTCTGTAGCAACTTATGCACCAGGAATTACATCTGAAATCTTAAGATTTTATTTTACAACATACATTTCTGAAGTTTTTTTTTCCTCTTCTAAATCAAGTATTAAAGTGTTTCCCTATTGATTAAATTTTTGGGAAATATTACATTTGCTCTAAGTTGTAATCAAATGGGTTTCCATAAAACAGAAAACGTAGCCCTTTTTTAAAAAAGAGAAATGAATATTTTGAATTCAATATTGATAGTATTTCCTATTAGACAGTGATATTTAATCATTTAATTTAGTCACAGCATGTTAATATTAAAAGTTAACATCTTATTTTGGCACTAATGTTTAATGGATTCTAGAAAAATAGCAGTCCATAAACAACATTTATAAAACATTTATTATGTATCACGCTCAGTGCTTTATAATGAACTTAATCCTCAGGAAATCTCTGGTAGTTGAGTGCCATTATTCTAATTTCAAAATGAGGAAACTGAGTCTCAGAAAGGTCAAATAACTGACTCCAGGAAGCATTATTCCACCTCTTTTCAGGAGGTAGATTTGCCAAAATACATAACCATGTTCGTAAATATCTTCTACTTCCTCATTCTTACCTCTGAAGCCATCCATCCTGCACACTAAGAACTTCCCTTTTTTTCCTTTTCACTCGGAACTTTGTTATGGAGATAAAAAGGGCTGGTTTATGCAACCAACTATTAAGAAATCAGGGAAAAAATAACATTTGTCATAATAGTTCCCTCTAAATGTGCCTTTGTGAATGAGGGGCGGACCTAGAAGTCTTTTAGAGGTAATCACTGAAACGGCCCCTCCCACATAATGCACTCATTGGATCCTTCCTTCAACACATGAAGTCTTTCTTTATAGAAAGATTCCATCTCCCCTAGTTCAAACATTAGCCAGCTTTTACTCATCTGAAACATAGGTAACAAACAGAAAGCAACTAACCTTCTTCAAACCTGCCAGGGACATATCAAACAGAAGAAGGCACGTTGGAGTTCATTCACGTTGCTGATGTGTGAAACCTCCCTTCCTCACTCCGAGCTTATTTATGCCTATGTAGCATTTGCCTTTAGCACGTTTCTGGGTGTTGTTTTAAAATCCTCTTCACATAAATAGCAGAAAATTGCCAGAGAGAAAGACAGTCACTCCTCTCAGATACAATGACAATCACAAGAAATGGCAGCTGAGCGCAAGGGAAGACACCAGGAAACTGCAGAAGCAGGTAGAATGTTAATATCTATTAGTGAAATATTTAAGGAGAAGCTTGTCTAGGACCAACACACTAGACTGTCTTTCCATTTGAAATGCTCAAAGAAGGATGCTATGAGAACAGAGGCTCCTGACCAGAGATTACTGCTTTAGCCCAGGATTCTACTCACGGGTCCTCCCCTGGTAATGCCATGTCGAAATCGCATTAAAGCTTTCTAAGACCGAGTAAAAGGCAGATCTCAAACAGTCCTGCAGTATTACAGGTAAGGACTCACTGCAGATGACAAATCTGTTTTAATTAAATAGGGAAGCAAATGGTCTCAAACTGAAGCTTGCAGTGAACCAAGCCCTAGACATTAGCTTCACAGGCAAGTGGGACATGGTTTACTTACCTCCTTTCTCAAGTTTGCTTAAGGCTAAATAGCATTTCTCATCTGTTACTACATGCAATGAGGATGTGGTGTTGCTTTAAAATAGCTGTCAGGTAGGGTGTGGACACATGTGTTTGAGTATGTGTGTGTGGTTAACTAATTTTTTTGTGGCAAGGAACTACTATCATTGATGAATCAATTTCATTTAACCAAATTAACTCTGTTAGTTACATGAAAGATTAGGCACTATTATCTTATACTGGTATGCAGAGAGTTATACAGAAGTACAAAATGTACATCGAGGGCCAATTACACATGAAGAACTACTGATAATTATGAGAGCTGGTTAATATTTCTGAATTATTAAGTCTGACAGCATAATCCTGCTTTCTGTGTTGTTTGGTCTATTGATACCAGATGCTTAATGCATAGTAAAATGTGACAGTTCAGTAGAAGTTAATGCTATCCTGCAAAATAAAGAACATTACTTGGTGCAATATGAAATGCGGCAAGCAGAAGCTGAAAGTTACAATTGGCTTTAAACTAAAGGGTAGCTGTAAGTCTGAAAGCGTATTCAACTTCAAACATTGTTATCTCTTATTCCCGAATGCAGTGGGGTTTAGAGGGCTGTGGTCGCTTTCCACTACGACAGCTGGTTAGAGATTGCCCCTTCTCCTGTCATTATGTTTGACATCATAACACCCCTTCCCTCAAATGCTGAAACTGCTATGTATCCCTTCTGACAGTTCATGTCCCCATGTCATTGGAACTCTCCCACCTGCGAGGGTATTATTTTGGGGTCATGGATCATTTGCCATCAAGCTGATGTTTAGTACTGGTTCATTGATGATGCTGCTAAACTTTTTAGTACTCAAAAGCAGTTTCTACAAAGCAGCATCAGAGATCAGTGAGAACCATGCACCTGGCTAGATTTAAGAAAATACTAATTGTAAAATTCACTTAGTGGCACAAGAGAGAGAAATTCACATGGGCCAATTATGCGTGATATACCATAGATGATTGTAAGAGTGGATTAATGTTCTTGAATTATTAACTCTGACAGTACAATCATCTTTTTTTCTTGTTTCTTCTGATGATACCAGATGTTTAATGCAGAGCAAAATGTGACTGTTACACTATATGTTGTACTTATGGCTAGAAAACAAAAAAGTACATGCTATCATTGTGACTACGAAAGACATATGTATCATATAAGACAAAACAGATGTCTTCTTCGGGATTTTCACTCTCAGGTAAAGTAGGTGAATGTCCATAGAATATATGGGTAAGCGGGAATTTCCTATGACAAATGGGATTGCATTTCATTGCTTGGATAATAAAATGTGTCATTTTTGTTAATTGGTATTATTAGTTGCAGAGGTGATGGGATGGGATGTATCAGACTCTGCCCACATAAACTGAAATTTCAGTTGTATCAACCCTGGTCAGTGAAATGTCTTAATGATAATAGCTAACTAATGACATGAGATATGCTAAGTATACTACATGTGTTATGTTAACCTTTATACTACCTTTGTGAGGTGGGAATTATCATTATCCTCATTTTGCAGATAAAGAATAGACACAAACAGGTTAAGCAAGTTGCCCAAGGTCATACAAATAGAAAGTGGCAGAACTGAGATTTGAACCCAAGGGGTTTGGTTTCTAGTCCGCACTCAAAATACACGCTAATACCATCACTACAGCCAGCTCAGTTAACCCTAACACCCTCATTCTCCCCTTTCCCTTACCACCAGCCTAACTGTTGTTTAGAAAACAACGTCATGGCTCTAGCTGCTGGGAAGGGGGAGAAAGCCTCTATTTTCTTGCTAACAGAATGTAGAGCTAAAAGAGATGCTACCATTATCACAGGCATGCAGTTTTGTATGCTCTCATTCTTTAACAGTCATTCATACTTCATGGCATAAATGAGCTTTTTCAGGTAAAACAGAATCTCTTATTTACCAGACCGCTCAATTCTACCATCATTCACTAGCTAGAAGCTTAGTCATCAAATTTCAATTTTAAAAGAACCTATGCAAATGTGGAAAGAGAAAATGCTGAGACCAAAGATATCTGTAACTTTGCCAAGACATAGTAGTTAGTCCTATATAAGTGGCAAGACTGATTGTATCAGCATTTGAAATAACAAAATATAAAACTCCAAAGTAGAGGAAGACACGACTATGGAAGAACGGCCACAGAGACACAAAGGTGCTTGGGGGAAGAGTACTGATTGCCACGGAGTGTGGGCAGCCTCTAGAACAGCGGTTCTCAACCTGTGGGTCGCGACCCCTTTGGGGGTCGAACGACCCTTTCACAGGGGTCGCCTAAGACCATTGGAAAACACATATATAATTACATATTGTTTTTGTGGTTAATCACTATGCTTTAATTATGTTCAATTTGTAACAATGAAATTGGGGGTCACCACAACATGAGGAACTGTGTTAAAGGGTCTCGGCATTAGGAGGGTTGAGAACCACTGCTCTAGAAGCTGGGAAGGAGTCTCCAATACAATCTTAAGTAGAAGTAGCAAGAATGTACATCCTTTTTCTGTTGCTGATCTTAAGAGAGATTGCCTACAGATCATTTCTACAGAAAGAAGGATGCAGGTGATAGGCCTGGAAGTGCACCTAATATAGGAGTGGGGCGTGAGAACTATACAAATCAACTGAAGTCAAACAAAGTTAAGTCAGGGGCCTGCTACGTGCTGCCTGACACAGAACTTGGCTGACCGGAGATGCGAGCGGATCACAAAGAGCCTCTGGCAAAGATTAATAGCTACTCACCCATACCTTATCATTTACTCATATTCTACCATAAAAGAAAACACAAAATATACCTTGCAAAGGTTAGAGTTAATCCCAATCTTTTTCCACTCTATTTCCCCATGCCAGCGTGTGCGGGCACACACACACACACACACACACACACACATACACACACACACACACATACACATGCACTCTACTCCAAAGACTTTCAGGTGTTTTGCCACTTAATTTTCAAATTCTGATATTTTTAGACAGAAAAACAAGATTTTATCTTAGCAAAATATTTTTAAAGAAAATAATTACTCATTATGTATGAAGGGAATGTATTTATATAGAAATTATTGTTCGAATTTATTTTTATGTAGTTTATATTATTACAACACTGTCAACAGGATTTCATTTAGGAATAGGGATGTCTTCCCAAGCAAAGACATTCTTTAGAGGGAAGTGAGTGGTAAATTACTAAAAGGAAGGAAGGGAGAATGAACCTTGAAGGACAATTAGCAGTTCCTCGCAGAGTGACACTTATGATTCTCCCCCCTTGTTGAGAAAATGGTTGGTAAAGTGTAATAAAACTCGGGAATACCATGCAAGGGATTGCTTAGTGGTTGTGAGCACTGAAAGGAAGAATGAATTTCAGGGTATAGTTCACATGGTTCAGCCAGAAGCTACAAGAGCCCAGAAATGGAAGAGATTAGGAGAATGAATGTATCTGAGAATTTGCAGAAATCTTGAGGATGCCTTTTGATTCCTATACACCGGCGGTTTGAGATGTTGGAGGCAATTTCCACTGAACTAGAAGTGGTAGAATGTTCCTCAGCTAGATGGAGTCTGGGTCTCATTATTAACGTTTGGAAGATGCTACAATTTGCATAGATAGGAGTTTTTTTATTTGGATGTTTTAGGCCATACAGAAATAACTAATTATTAAAGGACTATGTAGAAAAAAGACTAAGAAGAAAAGACTTGGGGTATTTGAGAATTGCCTCTCTATGGGAAACAGTTTATTTCCAATATTTCTAATGACATAGTACATGGGCAGCAACCATTAAATTTGGGAGTGGTATTTTGGAATTCAGAGCAGTGTTTCCCAATCCTAGTTAAACATCACATTCACTCATGGAGTTGTGTTTTTTTTTGTTTTGTTTTTGTTGGTTTTTTTTGGTTGTTTTTTAGGTTTTTTTTTTAAAAAAAAACATTAATGCCTGAGCCCATTCAAATCCAATTGAATTGAAATCTTTTCTATGAGCGGGGCCTGGGCATTGGCATTCTTTGTGCTATATTCCAAGCATTGAGTGACTCTAGTGACTAGTCAGTATTGAGAACAACAAACAGTACCACCTGTTTCAGTGGAGCACTTAATTAGGCTTTCTACTGAACATACCGTAGCTGTTTGAGTGTTTATCCTTCTTTATTGATTATGTATAATTGTAATCGGGAGATTTAAAAAACTTGCCCAGATTGAGAAACTAATCTAAGAATTTCAAACAAACCTTGGTTTGCTGAAATATTGCTTGCAATGACTTGAATATTATTTTAATTTCCCTTGTTATTAAAAACAAGGAAGGTGCATTATGTAATAAGCTTATTCATTTGCATTTTGATAAAGATGTTTCCTGATAATGCAAGTATTATCCTGTAAATTTAAATGTTCCAATCTCTGGTAAAAGTTAAAGAAGCGTATAACTGGAAATTTGCACAAATGCAAAACACAGTTTAAAAGTGGATATCTTCTAGAAGCTGATGATATAAGCAATAGAATTTGTAATGAGAAAATAATGTTTTCTTTAGTTAGAAAAATTAAATTATAACTTCTTCACTTTTTTAAACTATATTACCTAGTGCATTATCTTATTAGTTGACAACTTTGAGATAAAGTTAAATATTCAGGTTTTATTTTTTATTTTTTAATCTGAGGATCTTAACCTGGATATGTTATTTTGAAGTTTAGAGTTGGGTAGGGTGAGGTAAATCTGGTATACTGGAAGTGAATATAAAGTACTCCCTAATACCTACAGATCAAATTGTTCTCAAACAAGATAAGCTAATATAAGGTTGATCATTTAGGGGGAAAAAATCTCACAAATCAAATCCCCAGAAAATCTTATTGACTTTATCTTAAAAATATGTCCAGAATTTGGCTACTTCTCACTTCAACCTGCCAGGCAACACACCTGAGATCCCCATCCATTCTAACCAAGTATGCCAAGAATGTAAGCCCTGACCAGTCGTCACTCAGGACAGCTCTGAGGGCTGTGCTTGTAGTGAGCACCCTGAAGGGATGGGGCAACGTCACCCTCCAGGACAAGGAGCAGCTTTGCTTACTGCCTGCTGCTATAAAAGAGATAGATTTCCCGAGCTCAGTGTTCCTCAG